AGGGTTTTCATTTGTTTATTGATTTTAAAGCCAGAATCTCAGGTCCTTAATCAATTTTGAGAAAGTCTTGATTTGAGACAGGCCCCTTGTTAATGTCAGTGTCATCTTTTCCTAAGCAAGGACATTAGGACTGGGATCACTAGTCTTTTGGTTGAGTGGGGATTGGATGAAAATTGAGAAGATTCTCAGAATTTGTTCCGTACCGAATAATCCTTCTGCGAGGTTTGCTCTGCTACCTGGAATCATTTCTTAATCTTTCCTGTGAAGGAGAGTCTTTCCAGCTGTTCACAGAACAAATCAAGTGTGTCAGCACTTTATTATCATTTGCTTTCATGAGTTTCGAGTTTATCTGATTTTAAGGAAGTCACTGCTACAATTCTTCGATTTACAACTGGAATGTTAAAAGGCTCCAAATTACTTTTTTATGCAAGAGAAAAATGTGGTTTTTGAGTGCTAAAGAGTTTCTCACAGCATTCTGTTTATTTTGTAAAAATACACTGTCTGGCATGCCGAGCCAGCCACCGATAATCAGTAAGAGCATAGCTGACTCACTTTGCTTGTATAGAACCATCATAACTACCGGTATCAAAACATTAGCTAACAAGTTGAGCAGAGCCTTTCCTGCCATACTGACATATGCAGCTTGTTTGTACTCCGAATGAAAACCACACAATGGTAAGCTGCCAATACACTGCAGCTGATTGTGTAAAAAAACCACACATGGCTTTGTTCATATCTGAGACTGGCACCACTTGTGAGTATGCACTTTTTGTATAGCTGTCTCAAATCAACGTAAAACTGAAGGTTACCAAAATACAGAGTGTTAATCTAATAAGCCTCTCTGGATATTGCTACTTGTAAGATACAGATGCATGGGTATGAAGTTGTCAATGCGCATGGGCATTGTATTGACAGTTTCAAGATTTGTAAAAGCACTAGGGTCTTTCCTCTGTGCACATCTGATTCCCATAAATATTAACAAGACTTACAGGCCTTGTTGTTTGTGGACTGTATTCTCTAGAGTTCAAATTTTACACTGTTTTTAGACTTCTTGCCATCTTTTTTTTTTAAACTGTTATCTGATGTTTTCATATGATGTCATATTACAAATAAAAAAAGACCAAACAAAAGGCAGAACAGCTCCAGAGAACCACACAAATACACAGGATAAACCATGATTTGAAAGCAGCGCTTTGCTTCAAACCCTCAGGCCTTATTACTTCCTTGCTAGCATCTCCATTTCTGAATCCCTTTTTCAGGTACTTATCCAGTCCCCATGTGAGCTACATTTTTCCTGCTCTGTAGAAGAATTAATTTGATTTGACTTCCATTTATTTAAGGGCATGTTGACATCTGTTTATTTATTTCAGTGTGCATGCATGGGCTTACCAGTTAGAGCAAAAGATGTGAGGCCTGTTGGCCTGTTGTTAGGAAATATTATGGTATTATTATTTTCCATTAGGTTGCTTGTCTAATTTCAGTTTGTAAATCCCTAATGCCAGAACCTTTTCTGTGAAGAGCTATTCCAAATATCACCTTGATTCAGAACATGGGAACGTACTAAATACGCTGCTGGATCAGGCCAGTGGTCCATCCAGTAAGCTGTCTTTAGCAGTGTCAGTAAGGGATGCTGTATAGGGAAAGCACATGAGCCTGACCACTTCTCGTTGTACTCCCCAGTCATCTACTGTCGTAGGACTAGGAGTGCTAGAGGCGGCATCTCTGCCTGTTCTCTTTAGTGTCTGTTTTTGGACTTGTCCATAATTGGTCTAATCCATTCACGAACCTGCGGATACTATTTGGTACCGCAGTGTTTATGACAGCAAGTTTACAACCTGCTGTGTAAAGAATACATCACTAATCCACTGTAATTATTGCCACCTCTAAGGAAGTGACACAGTAGCATCTTAAACACAGACCAGAAGTCCGTTCTACCTTGGGCTTTAGCAACCCAGTACAAAATGATGATTCTTATTCCAAGGAGCCTACTATGTATTTAAAGCATCCTTGAGCAGAACCTCAAAGTTACCTATGGACCAGAAAGTGCTGACTGCCTGTTTCAGTACCTTCAGTAATGTTGTAAACCCGAACCTAGTCTAGGGGTGTCTACATTAGCATTAAGTACATCCCTTTTTTGTCTTTGTGTTAATGTTTTGGTTTTTTTTTATTGGACCGTCCCGACCCCTGTTGAGATGGTGGAAAGGAAGGAGGTCTGGAGAGGGTGCAGAGACCTAAAGTTACTCTTAAAATGCGTAGCTAATACTTAAGTTACTCTCCCCATGTCCCCTGGAGATGTGGGAAGAGTCGCTGGCCGGTAGGTATGTTCCTTGGAAAAGAGTTGCAGGTGCAGGGCTTTTCACACTGTGGTCCCCCTTTCACGCAGCAGCGAAGTGTATTTTGCAGCATGTGTTCCTGTCAGGCTGTTTATGCTGCTGCATGGACTAATTCTAGACCTCTTCACGTTTTATAGTATTACACAGAGGTTTTGGCGTCATCTTTCTAGCTGATATATAGCCTTATTGTAGGAAAGTCTCTGCCCTGATGAGCCTGCTGCCTAACACAGGACAGCAGTCTGTTTCTGGATAAACTGGGGTCATGGCTGGTACGGCGTGAAGCACTTGCTCATTTTCCTCTTGCTGGGGCTCAGCATTTTCCTTTCAGATCTTCAGGAAGAAACCCACTGTTGTCAGAATGCAGACAAGTATCAGATTAGACTTCACGGCTAAAGGAGCATAACACGCTGAACGCCACGGCAGCTTTAGCCGAGACCCGCCTGTTGACACAGTCAAAGTCATGGTCTCTTTACAGGCGGCGGTCGCCCTCGGCACTATTGTTCGGCCACCAAAGGACAAGCTTGCTCTGGCATTTGCAGCCAGCCGAGTCGCGGTGCCACGCAGCGCCGTTCTCGCCGCACCAAGGACGTTGCCAACCCGACTGCAGTCACCCCAACCTCGTTCTTTCGCGTTTCCTCCTTAAGGTCGGGAGTTTGGTGAGGATCGTGGGGCTCCCTGAGCCCCCTCTAGTGGATACGGATGCGAACGCCAGGCCCGTCTCGGAAAGTGCGGTGCTTTTGACTTTATCTGCTTGGGTGGTGGTAGTTCTGTCTCTGCCAAGGCAAGCGTAGGAGGCTGAAATCTCGTTATTTGATCCCGCGGTTTTGTTACTTTAAAAGCCAAAAGCAAATCAAGTGTGTAACGAAGCTTTTTATAGGTGATAAAATACATGACACCAAGTAAATCCATGGGCAATAGATAGCTTAGTTCTAACAGGGAGCATTTGTATGTCTAGAAGTTTTTTAGCCGTGGTGAAGTACATTTGCATTAGTGTTCTCATGTGCAAACGAATTATTATATTTTTTAAGAAATGTGTTTCATGTTTTTAGCATAGCAGATGCCTTTGATCAGCATGAATAGAATTATTTGTATGATAATTTGGAGTTTAATTTGATTTACAAGATGTTAATTTAAAATTTTGTATTGACTCTTGAAATGGTAGTCTTCAAGAGGAGTGCCCAAAATTCTCATTGGAGATTAAATAAGGGGAGGGTGATTGCTTGAGGAACTGGTCTTCTGAAATGCTGAGATGCCCGAGTGAAATCCTGTTGTCTAAGGGGCAATAAGCATTTCACAGAGGCTGTTACTGTGCAGAAATAAAACATGAAATAAGAAGACACACTATCTGTTTTAAAAACTAATTTCACTGAAGGTGGAAACAATGTTAGATAACAGGGTGACATTTTAACTTGCTAAGACATATGACTGAGCAAAACATTGATCACGATTTTACAATGGGAATTAAATCTAAGAGTTTGTATTTTTTTAGCTGTTTTATCTGTGTAGAATGTGCAAAAGTGGTTGCAAGATAAACTTCAAAGCAGCTGTGTTTAGGATGCTGAAGCTCTGCAATGTTATCAGACCCAGCCACAGAGATTACATTTTAGCATTAGTGCTGGAAAAACTCATGTTTGAAATGCATATTACCTCAGTAGATAGTGCTGTGCCTGCCTTCCTGCCTTCCTTCCTTCCACCTTTCCACCCTTCCGTCTACCCTTCCTTTCTTCTGTCCTTCCTTCCCTCCCTCCCACCCTCTCTTTCTCTCTCTTTCTTTCCAACTGTCAGTCTGTTTTCCAGCACTTTTCTCTTTCCTCTCTTCCCCATCTCCCTTCCCGCCCTCCTCCTTGCCCTCCCTCCCCTCCCTTCCTTCCTGCCTTTCCAACCACCTGCTAGTCTGTCTTCCAGCACTTTTCTCAAACACCACTTCCCAAGTCATGCTGTGACACCTCACCAGAACAGACTTTGTGTTTACCATCCTGTGTCTGCTGCCTGACATGTATTCATGCGTTAACTCCTACAGGCTCTGCGACCTTGTGGAATAAGGCAGTTGAGGGCTCATATTTTACTCTTTAGTATCCCTTTCACTGCTGTCCCTAAGGTGGTCCTCCAGCCATTTTTCTCTGCTTAACTTTCATTATGTTTAACCTTTCCTGAAACCACTTCTCCTGCTCCTACTACTGACATTTGAGTGACTCATCTTGGGAGGTGATATGTTAGACAAGTGACATTAAGATAGTACAGTCAGCCAGTCAAACGTGTGTTTGGACAGCCTATGTCCATAATTATACTCCTGCCTTGGAAGAGGGCTGGGTGGCTGAGAGGCAACATTGGTGGGTTTCATTAGCTGACATTATTTCAGTATTCAAAGTGAGGGAGTTGGTAAATCATCATTAGCATCATTAGCATAGTTATCCACACCTTTGTTGTAGATATTTGGTAACTGGCTATACATCATTTTCTCTGCAGCTGACCTTTTTTTCCTTGGGATTCCTGATGTTTATAATAGGAATCCACTTATATATACATGCACAGCTGTAGGCATGCACATATGTATATTCACGCATGCACACACACATGCTGAGGCTTTGTTAATTGATGTTAACTGCTGGTGTTTTTTTATTACAAAACATATTTCTCTATTGGTCTATTTGCACTGCTTTGTTTTAGCTTCATCTAATGCACTGGAACTCCACACTGTACAGCAGCATTGATGAGGCAGTAGGGAAGAAGCACGGCATAGCTATTATTGCTTTGTTTGTGCAGGTAAGTTTCCTGTGTTGCACTTGTTACCATGCACTATCATTTGTCTGAGGAAAATGAGGTCCTTTCCATTTTCTTTCATTTTAATGATTTCATAAAATAAAACTATGTATGACTGCTGGTATTCTATTCAAAAGATACTTCTCAGTCACGTCTTCTGTGTATGTGCTAAATAAGTAATTCTTGTTTAAACAGGATATTGGAAGTATGTTAGTTAAAGAAGGGATAATACATAGTCGGCCATCTCTCTGTGACTCTGGAGATAAGCAGACATCCAATCTCCATTGCTCTGAGGGCAGAATGAGGGCTGTCAGGAGGTACAAGTAGTTCACTATCTCTGTACTGTGTTTTTCTCCATTCCTGGTCAGGCCTGCTGTTCAGGGATTGAGAAAATACACACAGAGGAGAGGAGGAAAGAGGAAAAAAAAGCCTACTAACCCATTGGCACAGCTGAAAACTGGTAGTAGGATTGTGCTTTTCTGAACACAGGGACAAGTGTGTTTCTTGCGGTGCGGTCATATTACTTCTTCAGAGATGCCAGACTGAGAGTGTAAAGAGTCTTGCCACAGACTCTCAGAAAAGCCTGCGACAAGAAGGCTTAAAGCTTCCTGGGGAGAAGTTGTAATGCAAGCTGGGAGGTTAGCCCCATAATCTAATTGCTATTGCAGGTTTTTCAACAGCTGCACCCTATAAAGAAGATTTTCAGTTTTAGTCCTTGAACGCCAGATTCTCATCAACCTCATGAAAAATGGCAAACTGTTTTATTTAAATGGGTTTGGAGGAAGAGGTTTAGAGTTTGTGCTTAGATCAAATGGATTTTCTTTCACAGTGGTATTATTAATTTGTCATATTTCATAATGAATTTGTGAGTGCCTTTGAGCTTTACCTCTGTTTGAATTTAAAGGTACATTGGTTACAGCTCCAACGCTCAGATAGAACTGCTAAAAATGGAAGTTAGAAATGTCTTCAGTTTTGTATCCTAGAGGGCTGTGTGATAATTGCTTATATAAGTCACCTTCTAATTCCAGCAGAGGTAACCTTTGAGTTAGTTAGAAAGTTATATATAAGTTCTTAAATAAATCTGAAACTTCAATGATACATTTTCCATTTCTGGTCTCTCACCTTCATCAGAGTTATTAAGCATTCCAAAGGGCTTTTTCATTAGCCAAGAAAGGCATCATGTAATAAAATTTACCAAGGGAAAATAGTATTTATGCTGTTTATTAAAGTAACAGGGAGAGGAAATTCAGTGACTATTTTTTTCCTGTTAAAGGCATGGAAATATAATAGTTTTGCACCACAGTTCTCAAACACATCATTTTAAGGTCAGTGAAAATATTTTCACTGATTTAAGTGACACCCCTTGATGATTATTAACTTAGAAATAGCATCTTTGAAGTGATTTCACTATCTTTTACACACTTGGAAGGTTTTAAATTGAAGTTCCATTCTGATGCAAAAGAAAATCCTCTTAAATTCCTAGAAATAACAAAGTACCTTTTGTTGACATTCAATTGTTTCCTTCCAGTGACTGCTGTGCCATTCTATTCCAAGAGAAACAAAAAGCAAACGAATTTTTCAAGGTCTAGCTCTTCCATTCTCACTCATGCCGGCTTCGTTCCTCATCTCGTATGTGTACATGTTGGCAAAGAAATCAAGTGGAAGGCCATTTTGAGTCTTCCTATTTTAACAATGTTGTTCTGAAGGTAAAAGCGAGGGTCCTAGAATGGGTGATTTAGATCAGAAGCAGCTGAAATCAGTGTGCAGAGTGGACAGCATTCATGGAAAATAAGAACGTCTTATTTCAACAACAGGTTTCTTTTGAAAGCTCCATCTTCTGTGCCTTAAAGGCGTTTGGTAAAGGCAGTGCTGCAGGCTGCTGGGAGCCTGGCTTTCACCAGCAGGATCCCAGAGATGCCATGAGGGAGGGTATCTGCCTTTCTGCTCTCTGCAGGCAGGAAGAAACTCCCCAGAGCTTGAGAGATACCTTGGGCCAGATTTGCAACTCTATGGGAACAAATTAAAAAAGTGTCTGTCGTGCTTGTTCGCTCTGTTCCTTTCTGTGTACTTTCCTGACAAAAACTGGTGAGGACAAACTGTATCCTTGGCATTTATATGCCATAATGCTGCATGATTTTGACTCCACATGCAGTGTATGCTGCAAAACAGGGTTAAACCAGACTTAACTGTGCCTCTTTCTCTTGTTCTGTGAGTTTCTGTCTCTGCTTTAAAGTTATTTATACCTTGTTTACTTTTGACTGGTGGCTTTGTAGTGATTTAATTGTTTGGAGTTGCCATGTATCAGTGTGTGTGGTTAACTCAAGGCTGTGTAGCTTAACTGAAAACAACTACAGAACTTACTGTTCTGATTGGCCTGTCTTGCCTCACAGTTTCTGAATTTGCAAAATACTGAAACTTATCTTTACTTGCTGTATTTCAGATAGGAAAAGAGCATGTAGGCCTAAAGGCTGTAACTGAAATTCTCCAGGACATCCAGTACAAGGTAAGGCATTGTCTGAAGAAATGCTTCCTTCACTGACCAGAGAGAGAGCAAGTGAGCAAACAGTCTATGTGAAGCCAAGAGAAGGGTTTCAGATGTGTCTGTAGTAAAACGACATGTGAAAGCCATCATTTGGTGGCCTGCATCAGAACCTCAGCATTTTACAGTATTCAGATAATACACAATCTTTGAAGTTACTTCCTTTTCTGGTGGCCAGAAAGTTTGATCTCCTGTACCAGTAACTGATCGCAAATACTACCTTTTCAGTGATTATCATGGTGTCAGTGTGAATACAAGCACTGCAACATGCTTAGTGGACACCAGCAGCAGTATCTCCAAACTTACCTGGTTTTAATTTGCAGGAGAAAAGAATAGATGAACTGAGCACCCATATTAACTTGCAGTGGGAAATCAGCAAAAACACAATGCTGTCTTGTCAGGTGGATTATGTGTGGGGATCCTGAAGGACAGATAATAAGCCTAGCAGGACTGAGGAGATAGGAGTGCTCTCCAGAATGTCGATGCTATCTTAAATGACATTGGGCAAGTTACTTCCATCTTTCTGCTTCACAGTCTCTGTCTGTAACATAGAAATAATAATTCTTACTTTTGATTTTAAAGGATTTTGAGATGTACTAATGAGGTGTTCTGTATTGGTCATTAGCCATTCCCTTAAGTGGATGGCTAAGTGTAGAAAAATTAGAAGCTGTTATTAGAAGGGAATTGAAAAATCTTCTTTTAGTCAAATAATATATGGTAAACTTCAGTCATGATGTTATTGTTACAAACTCATTGTTTATGAAGGTGTCAGAGAAAACAATAGTGTATGTAACTCTGTAGGTTCATTACTGAAAGGACAGCCAAGTAGAGGAAGGTCATGGAAGGCCTCGTCATTGTGAGTGTGTTATACTAACAACTTTCAGAGGGTCAGTGTCAAACATACTTTTGGCATACATAAAATTTTCTTGCATTAAATATGTGGAAGCAGCTTTATGTTATTACATGTTATCTACATCTGTCAAGGAAAAGCTCACTTTGGCTTGTTTCTTAAACTCATTTTGTATGGAACCCCTGAATTTCATGTAGAGAATTTCAAGGCTGGGACCTGGAAGGAGCCCGGGTACTAAAGGTAGAAAGTTAACAAATTGCTGAGATAACCTTAGAACTAAAATATAAAATAGAATAAAAAAAGTGTTTGTGTAGCTGCAAGCACAAATGCAGTGATTAAATGGGGGCTATTAATGAGGTTGCTTTGCACAGGAGTTCAAGGCTTAATGTTATAAGAACACACAGTGTGTTGTACCTCTCCATTCATCGTCATTTTAATAAGAAACTAGAGATGAGATTGATTTGTATTCATTTTTTCAGGGAAAGTCCAAAACAATACCCTGTTTTAATCCCAACTCTTTATTGCCAGGTAAGGTGCCTTTGCTTACTTCTGTGTGTGTGGATTACTAGCTAACTGCAGAGGCTGAGACAATCTCGATCTAAAGCATAGCCTAATTGTAAGCCTGAGAGTGTGTCCCATAAGGTTAATAGGGTTGAAGTCCCTTTGGAACTTAACGATAAATCTGCACCTTCGTCATGTGAGTGGGATGTGATACTGTAGTCCATGCACTGCTGGCAACACTGGGGCTAGATTTCTTGATGATTTATCACCTCACCTAGAGGGGGAGCTGTATGTACTTCTTACTCTACTTCGGCATAAAATAGGAAGTGTAAGGTTACCCACTTACCAAGGTAGCTTTTTGGCAGCATCAGAAGACAGTGCCGTAATGCAATGACAGTTGTATAGCATACAAGGAGTAGTGACAATGGAAGGCAAATTCGAATTCATATAGCTAAAAGTTAAAGAGAAACAGTAAGAAACAGCCACTTCTACCTTGTCTTGAAAAAAAATGTGACTTTTTAAAAAAAGCATTTCTATAACACAAACGTTTCTGCAAGGAATCCTTCTGAGCTAAATTCCATGTCATAGTGGCACGATCTTTAATTTTTCAAAGTAATCCATGTCTACATTAAACTATATTATTTATATCAAAAGGATGTTGTTTAGGTTGCAAAGTCAAGTGCTCAGCAATTAGGAATTGCAGGAATTAAGGCTGCCTGTGCCCCTTCATGCATATGTGTTATAAAACAACTTCTAATTGCGTGACCATAAGTTAATTTTCACAGGACCCCTGCCTCACAGTTCCTGTTTGATGCTGATCAAGTCACATAAACCAAAATTTTCATAAATGATCTCTAACTATGTATTCCTCATTTTCTAGGTGCCCGACTTGAGATCATGGGGTCTGATTTGCAGAAGTGCTGAGTGCTTACACCTCCAGCTGAAGTCAATGGGAGCAGTGCTCTGACTGCATTAAGTGCTATAGAAAGTTAACTACTCTGAGAAATCAGGTTCTAAGCATCTCATATTGAACACCTCAAATGAATAGATCCATTTGACCTTAACTTCTCCTTGCCTCAGTTCCCCAGCTTTAAAGTGTGGGGGTAATCTGTCCTTCCTCACCACACTGGGGTGTTAGAAGGATAAATTAATTCATGTTTGTGAAGCACTCAGACACTGAAGAAATGAGTGCATTAGAAATATGAAAAATGAGAAAACGTGGTCTTTCTAACAAGCAGGATTTGAATAGCGTGGGAAAAAGAAAACCAAAGACCACATATTGTACTGAGAAATCCAAATGTTATTAGATGCTTTTCACAAGAAGATCATCCATCTTTGCAAGTAAATGATGAAAGGTTCTCTAGAAAATACATACATGATCATGTAACAAAGACGGTGTCACAGTGCATGCACAGGATGGGCTGAATTAATTCTTGCAGTTCTTAACTTTTGAGTGTTTGATAATGCAACTTGCTTTCAATGGATTTGCTATGTAATTCCCTAACTGAGAAAGAAAATTACACCAACAAAACAAAATCCATGCACTGACAATCACAGGCTTCATTAGCAGGATTTAATTCTACTGATATTTTTCTGAGCTAGTAGTGAAATGGCAGTGAAAGGTTAGGTCAACCAAGCAAGTATATTCATTTCCAGTCTCCCATTCTGTCCTTGTCAAGCTAGTTGCAAGCTTCCCCTTAACTCTCCATGCCACGATTAACCACCCTTTGTCTCCAGTTCCTCTCTAGGTTTATTTCTTGTCCCCTCTTTTACAGTCAGGCAGTTTCCTCTCCATACTTCTTAAACTGTGTCAGGGAGTCATTTGTGAGTATGGCCTACAGCAGCAAAGGAGAGCCCTGTGTAGTCTCACTTACGAAGTGCAGTGTGACTAGAATCTTTGAGGAACTAAAATTACAATAGTTAAAATCAAACATGTTGTATGTAGAGTTAAAACTCTGCTTGGACAAACCATTGTATGTTTTCTTGAGAGACAAATGTTTATTCTAACAGTTATTTATAAACCTATTAATAAGTTTATAAACTTATTAAAATAAGTTTATTCTTAAATAAACCTTGATTTTTTCCTCTGTGAAATTCAACTCACTTTTCCAAAGCTAGGAGGCACCAGTGCATCTCAAAAAATATGTCACCAGAATTGCGAAGTGAAAAGTTTGGCTTGAGCTGTTTTCACTGAATTTTTATAAAAAAGAAATAAATTCATCCTTGAGACATATCCTAAATGTAGAAGTCAGTTAAAATTTGATCACCACAGCCCCTCTGCCTTCAAAATTGGATGTCTCTTGTAGCTTCTGACACTAACAGGAGTTCTTTCCCACCATATTATTTATTTGCTGTGTTAGTTTAAGGAGTTGTGCACATGTTGTTTTTCACATCTATAAAGTGGCATTTTCATCTTTAAAATACTCATCTACAGGGAGAAGTTACTGTAATATGATGACCACAAGCTCATGTACATTCACATGAGAAAGTAGTGGACAGTGCTTGACAGGTTATAAATTCACACTTTAGCTTACTGCATACTAACTTCATCATATGAGCAAAGCCCATGGCTATCATAAGCTGTCATAATTGAAAGACACAATTCTCTTCCTTAATGTCATTAAAATTCAATTTTTTTTAAATTTCAGATCCTCTTCTGCGTGACTACTGGGTGTATGAGGGCTCTCTAACCATTCCACCCTGCAGTGAAGGTGTCACCTGGATATTATTTCGCTATCCTTTGACTGTGTCCCAAGTGCAGGTAACAGCTGTGCTTAAAGTGACCTTGGAATATGGTTATGAGCTAAAGGTTATAGCGTGCAAATATATATATCAGGACATTATATCTGTTCTCCTTGAAGATCCCATTAGATCAGTACATGGCTTTTCAAGTAAAGGTTAAGCCTTTTGAGTCACTGAAAGCAATGCAAAGGTCAGAGATGAAAAACCTTGTTATCATTTATCATCTGCATTTAAAATAATTCTTTATTTAAGTGAAAGAAAAAGAAAGAAGTCAATGGGCAAAAGAAATTCAATTCTTTGTAATTGTAAGCTTTCAAATATCACTGCTTTTTGATGTTAAAGGAACAAAAAAAGCACAGGGAGACACTATGTCCTGGAGAATGAAAAATGTTAACATAGTACAGGCTAGCTATATTGCATTGAACTGTATTTAACTTATCTTGCTCTTTTTTAATTCTGTTTTATAATAAATGTCAAATGGAAACTACCTATTTAAATTTGATTTCACGTGTATGTATTTTAAAGTAGTTTTTTTTAAAAAAAATTATTTCTAACAGTTATGTGAGCCTTCCTATAGAAAACATTTAAAATCTGTCTAGAAATAGTCCAGTAAAAACAATGAAAACTCCTGATGAATATTCTTCCACAGTCTGTGAATCCGAGCTGGAGGAATGTGGGTTAATTTAAGTGAAACTATGTAAAATCCCTGAAGCTGAATATATTAATTTTCATTGCCTGCTCTGAAGCATTGCAAACAGAAGGGAAAAAAGTATAAAAGGTGATAAATTATTTCAGCTTTAATAATCTAAAATTTTTCTAGTAATCCCAATACAATATTTTAACAATTTTAACAATTTGAAATTGGCAATGTTTCTTTTCATTTGAAAACTGAATTCTAGTTCTAATCATAGGATAAAAGCAATAGCTCCCAATAAGCTTATTTCTATGGTAGCTGCAACTTAAATGTATCCCATCATGAGTCTGGTATTTATTGAAAGGATAAGTCTTATGGCTGCTTGCTACCAAGTAAATGGAAACAGAACTCTGTTGGCATTATTGGATTCGGAATAACTTTTAAAGACAGAGTGCATTTTGTAAGTTGGCAGCTAATTGTGCAGATATGAATTGGATAAATAAGAGGACTTAATCAGAAGTATAAAGGCCATAACTATTACACTGAGACATTGTATGATATTTTATTTCATGCTAGTTACAGATTTTGCGGTCTCTATTCCCTTTTCATCCAGTCAGTGCATAGAGGAGGGCACAGTTCAAGCCATCCACGTGCGGTGGGAGATGGCAAGAGGGTGAATGAAAGAAGAATTAGGCAGAGAAATGCAACTTTAGTTAATATTATTATGTATTCATTTACCACAAGAAAACAAGATGTTGGCATATGCTGTGAAGGGGATAAGTCTCCAGAAGAGAATATTGTGCCTGGGGAAAAGAGTGACCCATAGTGCCTGTGGAAAAGAGTATGATTCATAACCATGGCCTTTAGGTGAGAGGTAGCTGGTTTGCGTTGCTGCATTACTTTGGTGGGTATAAACCCAATCCAACAAGAACATTGCACTGATGAAGGGCACAGAAGTCATGGAGGGGCTTTTTTCTCTGCTACTGACACAGTATGCAGGTGAGACGTGGCACTGGAGCAGAGTGAGAGATTGGAGTGGACTTAGGCCAGTATCATCCACAATACCTTGTACTTGTCATAGATCAGCATCAGTTAGAAAAAAAAATCCTCACTGCTAGTTATGAATGCAGCAGCATTAAAGTCAAGGTTGTGCAGAACAGACTTACTAAGATCATGAAGGACTTTTGCCAAGGTGGGATAAAAGTTTTACCTGCACTGGATACCGCTTTCAGATGTCAACTGAAATAAATATGGGGACAAGTAAGTGAGAGACAGTGATTCTGGGATTCTAAAGTCAAAAGGGACTGAGAGTTCTCCAGGATGCCCAAAATAAGATTTTGGGGGTGCCAGAATATTTTCCTATAGCTTAGACATCCAAGATTTTAACTTGCAATTAGCATTTTGGCTGCAATTAAGTATCTGGCCTCTTTTGTGCATGTGAGCATGACTGCCTATGAAAGATTCCATTTAAGGAGAGATTAGAAATGCAAGGGCTTTTATCTATGGAAAATAAGAGGATGTAGTATAGCATATACCATTCTGAATCATCCATGGAAGGCTGGTGAAGGCATTTAATTTTATTAAGCCTGCTTGTAGTATTAAAGCACAGATTTCAGTGCAAATGCATTTCTAATGGATTTAAATACATTATTTTTACATGTGTCATTAACTTGTAGAACTTTCTTCTGTGGTATACTAATGAACACAGCTTATGAAACTTCAAGTGATTTATGTAAATACTAGTAGCATCTGTGGTTATAGCCGGTAAGAGACAAATTCAAGGCTTTCTATTTTCATTTTTCAGGCCATAAAATAATCAACTTCTGAGTGTCAATAACAAGTAACAATAAAGAACAACACAGTCTGATAGGGAATAAGTTTTATTGCCTTCCTCTGATGAAGCTAGTTAATATACTGGAGACAAGATACTCATTCACATTCTCATTTTCTGTAATTAACATAGCAATATTGTTTAGCTTAACAAACTGTGGGTCATAAGGGGAAAAAATGAATAAAATTGCAATTCTAGTTCATGGTCACATCTATATATTTTCATATTTGCTTATTTTGAAACAATGGAGAAGTAACCATTTTGGCATAGGCTTAATAGGCTGACCATTGCAAGGTAGAAAACCTTGTTCTATTTCTCCTGAAGACATTTATAGATAGTAAAGTTCAAAGAGTTGATTTGCTACTGATCTAAGTCAATGCTAAGTGAAAGGAGATTCATCTCCATATGCACCTCACTTCAGCAGCTGGGATCTGAGTGTGTTGGTTATACGAGTAGCATAGGAGCAAGCCAGGACTGCAGCCTCAGAATGTGCTTTCCTGGAGTCCAATGCTGTTTCCTCACTGCAAGTCATTTTCTTTGACATGAGGCTTCACTTTGATCAGAGAGCTGTTTGCTTCACGGGTCTTTCTGTGAGTTCTGGATAACATGTGCAGGCGACTCTTCTTCCCCAGAGAATAAGGGCTTTGCAAATCTGGTTCTTGGAGTTCTATTACTGACCTCAGTGGAAAGGAGCTTGTCTGGAAAGCTGCACCTTGCAGTGCTCTTTTTGCATATTCCTGCCCTCATTTTGTGGTTTTTATCATCCTTGCTTGTCTTGTGTTGAAATACACAACCCCAAAAGAACTGCGTTGAGCGCTTTTGTGAGACACCTCGCCCATGCATGTACACTGCTGAAATGCAATGGGAGAAGATAGAAAACTCCCTCCTATTAGGCCAGTAAAGAGCAGGAAGTAATTGAAAAATACTTGCTCATGCCTCTCTCCCCTATATTTTGTAAAAATTGGACATTTGTGAATAATGTGCTTTGTGGCTCACTGAAGCCCAGGACAAGTACATTGTCTAAGCCACTCAGAGTACAGATTTTAAACAATGATGCAGCAAGGAGCTGTTGTTCTGCTGTAGTCATTGTCAGAGTTAACTGGTTTTGTATTGAATGGCAAGGTCTCTAGTCTTTTTGTCTACCTCAATCAAAATCAAGACCTCCCAAAGGACAGAAATAGTAACTAGCATATGGAGCTGGAGTGGGAATTATGCAAAATATATGTAACCTGTGAAATAAAGCACTCTGAGAGGTCCATGGTATTCTGTTCACTGGGAAGCAGGTCTGTATTCTTGGAAGGTGTCATGGAGGCGTGTAAAATATTCAAGCAGAAAGATGATGCTTCTATTCCTCATATAGAAGAAATGTTTGTAGAGAAAACATGCAAATTCTTTGTTTTGTGTGTTCTATTCTTCAGCAAATATTTAAGTGAAACTGAAGAAAGCAGTGTTCAGGATCTGAATACAGGGAAGTGATAAAAACATTCTTTCAAAATTCTACAAAATATAAACTAAATGCTTTTACTCAGTAGAAATGTGACTGTTAACAATGCGGATTTACCCCTTCACTGGTTAGAATTTGATCCTGAATTTTAGTGTGAACAGGCCTAGGTCATCCTTAGTGTCTTCTGGGCATGAGAAAAACTTTTATAAATGGCTATTCCTGTTGAAAGTATGTGAATATCCAAGGGTGCTTAGCTGTATGCCTCTAAAATATCTATTTCCTCAGCAGTCCTACAGAGTGTACTTCGCAACATTGACTCATGAGGGGTTGGGAGGACATAGTAAGTTGTTCCATATGAAATGAAGCAGGATGAATGGGGCACACATATTGCCTTATCACATGGAAATTTAATAGGGAAAGTAGTGTCAGCACAGAACCACTTCTCAAGAGTGAAGCAGAACACCACATGTGTAGAAGGTCTCTGTCCCAGGGGTCTGAACCATCATATGAAGGACTAAACAAGGAGGCTGATGATCTCAGAAGCAATTTCCCCCTTGGAGCAGGACTGCATGGGCATGAGGTCATTCCTACTTTCCTGACTGAAGAAACTGGAAGCTGCTTTGTGAGGACACTACCTCTCGGAGAAAGATTTCACTGTGGGGACTGGGGCAGAGCATTTGTAGTTGTAGTAGGAGACAGCTCACAAATGCCAGCTTTGCAGAGTCTGCTTTTCCCTCTCCTTCATCTGTGTTTGTTTGAAGTCTCTCATTCTCAAAAGATCAGACAAAAGCCACGTTCTTGTAAAATGCTCCTTCCTAAACTACAATTATTTCAGACTTTCCAGAGTTGATTCAGATGGTGAAAGAGGCTACCTTTACAAAACCCATTCAGCTATTTACCAGCACTTGACTCCTGAAGACTTTTTCAGTTCCAATCCTGTAGTGGGTTTGTTTTCAGTTTGCTTTAAATAAGCAGACAAACAAAAAATTTTCCAAAACAGGGTTTTGCTTCTAAAACCACTTTCAAAGAGTTTTACAGTTCATCCTGCTTTTCATCTTTTGAGTCTAAGCTTTTGCCTTATCTCTCAGCTGTAAGAAGCTGAGTGTTGATTTCTGAGCACACTGGTTTTTTTGAGGAAAATAAAGCAGAGCAGGGCTAACCTCTAAATCAAGTAAATAAGTCTGTATCAATTCTGCTGTAGAGTGGAAACCAACAATGAAGGCAGTTGTCTTCCAGGTTGCAGTAAGACAGTGTTCTCTGCAGGCAGTATAAGAATAAAAATGCCATTGCCTGCTGTTTAGTACCTCATTTCTTTTAATTCTGGAATCACACTTGCATTCTCCCTGTAATCCTTCATAGGGTGTTTTTGATGAGGAAATTAACTCTCTATAATCTCTTAGATGATAAAATTATTAAATATTTCAAGCTCCATTTTCTTTCTGTGTAGCTTCAGTTTCAAGTTACAGCTGAGCTGGATAGTGAGGCATCATGGGATCAGTAAGAATACAAAGGCTCAGGCTAGGGGAGTCACCCTCCAAGTAGGTTTGCTGTATCCAGCTAAGATAGCTTGTCAATATGCCAAAGCAAAAACAAACACATTTTTTTTAGTAGTTGTAACTACTTATTTAAAATACCAGACTCTTAAAAACAGCACTGTGAACAATAAGGTATAATATCGCTGAGATATGCATTGATTTTGTTAGTTTCTATCACACAGAGCTTGATGCTGATACCAGGGATGGAGATGGAAGCTGCTCACATTTTTCCCTACACCAGATTAGATTTAGAAAAATCTAAAAAGAGTCTATAAACCAGAAACATACTTGTTTTGGAGCAATTGAAATGTTTTATATGGATTTTTGACTGTATTTGATTTTCTAAGTACACTTAGCACCTACATCTACAGAACTTTTGAAGTGGTACTTTATTTTGATTGGGACAACCGTGTTTTTCCATATAAGATGTCAGCAGCCTTCCTCTAAAGCTGACAGTCTGTTCAGAATTCTCCTGGTTTAGAAAATAATTTTTAGTTAAATGAAGTAACAATTTTAGGCAATAAATAAATCACTGGGAGAAATCCAAAACAATTTATAATTGACCAAGTTTTTCCTCAAATGCAATTCTTTGAAGAAGACCAGAATATTAGTCTCATGTCACAACTGTGAGGTTGATTCATAGGATATAATCTACAATGGCTAAGAAGGTTATAGATCCCAAAAGAAGTTACAAAAAAGCAAAGGGTAAGTTTGCCAAACCATGTGCATAAAAGTTCTTATTTTTCTTTGTGTGTTAAATGTTTTGACAATGCTGTCAACTATTTTAAAATGTTATTAATGATGTATGTTGACCTTAGTATATGGTACCTGAACACTCCAAGCTTCAAAACTCCAGAAGTGGCTAGACAAGGCTGATTTTGATCATTAGTCCCATAGTCTTCATAGTGAAGAATGTATCTCAGCTTCTTCATGTCTGTTTTTCTGCCTTTCAGATAGAGGAATTTCGTAGGCTGAGGACACATGTTAAAGGTGCTGAACTTTTAGAGGGCTGTGATGGAATCCTAGGAGATAACTTCAGACCAACTCAGCCACTTAGCGATAGAGTCATCAGGGCTGCATTTCAGTAGCAGAAGAGAAGGAACAACAGAAATAAATCTTTATTCAGGTAAGTAAAAGCTTAGCAGAAAAATAAAAACATTGAAATAATTTTCATAGGGGAGATTGAGCTAAAGGAGAAAATGCACTGAATTTATTTCAACTAATGTTATGATATATTGTCACAATCGTAAATTTTGACACTGTAGTGTTTTATTTTATCCTGTGGTATAATAGTTTGGTTACTATTGGTTCTTTAGTGGCTGGAATAGTTTGGTTACTATTAGGTTCTTTAGTGACTGGTATCTAGTATGCGATTTAGTGAATTGAAATATTTGTAATTAGGCAGTGGAACACACATAGTTACATCACAGTTACTTCTTGTAGCTTTAAATTTCTCCTACTGCAGTGAGCAGCAGCACAGTATGCCTAGGTTATGTGGTAGATTTCCCCAGTTACTGAGGTTCACTGGTTGATTTCTTACTGTGTTTTTAGAAGACCAGTCATTGGTGAATCTTTCTAGTGTTATCTGTTAAAAACCAGGGTAGTAGTTCTAGAAGGAGGCCTTAAATTCTCAAAGGAGGCTGGTTTTTTTTGGATCCCTTCTCCCTGCTTTACAATGCTGTTCTTTCCCAACAAGACTGAATCTTGGGCAAAACCAGTGCAGATACAAGAGGAAACTAATTAACTTCTGTCATGGCTAATTTTTCATATTTCATTCATCAAAGTAATTGCTGCTTCTTGTCCTCAGTGATGTTTTCAGCTTTCATTGGCTCATAGAGCAAGAATTGAAGGATGACATTGTATTCAATGCGTAAGAGCTAATACATATGAACCTGCATTATCCCCACTTCAGTTATTAAAACCTCCCATGTCATGTTCCCCTAGCTTCTATCAGTTACAAGATAAATTCTATCAATGCTCAACAGTTACTCCTAAACCTCATTATACTTAGTTAATAAATGTTTTACTATAAAGAAAAACATAGTAATGAGATTCTTGAAGAGTTAAAGAAAATTTGCTATCAAGAAAACTAGTTACCTTGAAAGCAGTGAGTCAAGACACCAACATTTATGGCTGATTTTGTAATGAAGTGGCCCCACCTTGATACAAATAGTAAGACAGTGAGCTGTCTGGGAAGTCTTCAAGAAAAGAATGAATCTGTTCACTTACTTTCTTTAATAAGTCCTATTACTTTTTAATACAGTAACATTTTTCATCTACTATCCTACCATAAACTTTATTTAAATAATAAAAACATTGGGTTTTTATTACCATTACCTTATTTTACTGGTAGAATCCATTATATAAGAGCATCAGTTTTTCTGTCTGCACATTTCTTCAAAGCTTCTTCTAAGCTCACAAGAGAACCGATTCATCCAGAGTTTAACCTGGAAGCATGCTGCTGAAAGGTTTTTGATAAACACTTTTGGGTAAGGACATTTATTTGTACATTAAATTCTTGCCCTATCTAGGTCAATGATGGAACTCCTTAGTTCATGTCAGGCTCTGTTGTGGAGTTAAGCCTCTTCAGACCATGCTCTGGGTCCAGCCCCCAACTTCATATGAAGTTAACAAATGATCAGGCAGCAGATAACCCCTGAAGGAGATTGATAATTCAATGCTTCCAAAAATGGATCCATTAAAACCGAGTGGGAAGATTATCTTTCCTTCTGCATGTGGTAGAAATTATTAAATGGGCTGGGACAGTGGCCAACAATTTCATGGTCTTTCCATATAGCGTAAGGATTCAGTATAGTGTATGCATCTAAACATTTCTGAAGTAAGGGTTTATTTGTATTTTATAACCCTACTTAATATCCGCATCCCAGAAGTTAAGCAAAGAACTTTTATTAATATTGTTTTCTTATTCCCATATTTAATTTTGGGCACATCCCTAAGCCTGGTTCTCAATTACATGGTTCTCTGCAGTCACCAAATGTCATCACTTTAATCTCAAAATGGATGTTTCAAATTCATCCTGGCTTCTGCATAAAAATTACTTGGGAAAACCACAGCAATATTAAAGTACAATTTTTCTCGGAAAGTGAATAATGCCCTCAGGCCAGTGCAGGTAATTCAAGTCTGTAACAGTGAAATTACTTGACACGCTGAGTTTGAATTTTAAGCCTGAAAGAGTTTCCTTTACAATGCTGGAATTGAAATGTAAAAATTTCCCTTTTGCTTTCATGTTTGAAATTTTATTACATTTGTCAATACTTATAAAGATTTGTTTTAAATAATAAGATTTATCTTGGCCATGCTTCACAAAATAATCTGTAGTTTTAATTGCCAAATGATGGAATTTTTAATGTAAAATGATAGTCCTCACTGTAGGGCTATGCTAATTATGGACTCTCAAGCACTGAGAAAGAACTGTGACTCCTGGCATTGTGTAGTCCACAGAAGAAATGGCACTTGGCTCTCTACACCTGGTTGAATTATTTATCAGAAATTCATTTGGCCAGGTCTTCTTTATAGTTTTTGATGCCTCAATCCAAATAGCACTAAACCAATCAAGGGTTCACAATATATCCTTGCTATTAAGTTTGTCTCTGGGGAGCTGGAAAAATGAAGCGTAAAAAGAAATTGTGCTGCTTTGATCACCTTTCTTCTATGCAAAGAGGGAGAAAGGGAAGAAAACAATCCTACCTACTTTGTAGTGATTTCCTCACACAGTTCTCTCCAGGAGGAAGGTGTTGAGGAACAGTAGCTCCTCACACAGACCTCAGACATCCTCAGAAAAGACAGCCTCCCTCATTCATAGGAATGCGTAATGGTCCTTAAGCTGGGACTGCTGACATCAGCTGAATATTGCTATGAAGACCCAGCAGCAGATGGGGAGGTAACAGTTGGCAGGGTGGCATCTACATAGTGATCCAAGATGGAGCATTTCTTCCTTTCAAAGAGGAGATTACCTTTTATTTTAAAGCTCTGGTATGTCTTGAATATTACAAATACAAACACACTGGTGGACTTCTTTTCTGACACAATGCCCCTCTGCCAAGGCTGCCAGAACTGTCAGTAAAGTTTTCAATGTTTTCTTTTGTTCCAAACCAGTGTGGTACAACATTTGAAGAACCTTGAGGAACATTAGTTTTTCATGACCTTGTCACTCTGTCAGGGAAAGGAGACAAATGTTTCCATAAATGTATACACAGGAGTAGAAAGAGGTTGCTTGAAAGCTCTAATTAGTTTTGACTGAATCAGAATGCAGGCTCTATGCATGCCACGCTCTGTCATGACCTGGGCTGGACAGACCAGGGAGTCATGTGGAATTCGGAATTCCCTTGGGCTAAATTAAGGTGAAACGACACCAAACAATCAGTTAAACATTTTATTCATGGCAGAAGCAACCTGAACTTGGGAGGTGTAACAGTAGGTCGTGGGGTTTCTCACAACAGGAACTGGCCTGAAACTGCCTCAGTAAACCGTGTAACCCGTGGTAACCATATACATCAATTCAGGGAATAAGGAGAGCCCTCCCGTTGAGTCACGAGGTTCAGAGCAGACCCCCTTGCTTTCTAGACTCCTTCTCAGAGAAGAGCCTAGGGGCATCTGGATCCACTCCTGGTCCCAGACTTGGTCAACAGTTTTATGTCTTAAAGAGATGAGGTGTAGGGATTATGAAGAGGAGAGAGACAGAGAGAGAGGGACAGAAAAGAAAAGAGACACTTCACTGGTCCTGGGTCCAGCGTTGGTCCAGTCAGCCGAGGGGTCCAGTTCCAGTGGGTGCGTGCACGTGGGGCTTCAGTTTGTGTCCTTTTATCATCTTTGCCCCTCCTTCAGGTGGGCACTAGAACTCATTAGGCTAATTAAGTGTCATGCACGGTTTGTGCTTTCAGTACCTTCGGGAGATGGGTCGGTGGACTTGGGGATCGTTTGGGGAGTAACTTCCCCTTCCCTGCAGACATGACCGTTGTTTGATCTTTGGCCATGTATGGTGAGCTGCCCTGCTCAGCATATCAGAACAGGGAGCTGTGCACCCTCCGGCGCACCCTCCCCCTCCTGTTGCTGATCTGTGCTGATCAGCTTCTTTTCACCTGTGGTTCCTTGCTAGGCAGTGCTTGTGGCGAGGCAGAACTTGCCCCACCACAATGTTTATGACGTTAACTCTTTCAGTCTCTCACATGCTCACAAATCTTCAGAACATCTGCTTTTCAGCCTTGATTTAAACCTTGACAGAACTGAACCCTTTGTGGCTTACGATCAAAGGGCATATGTTGATCTTTGATGCAATTTGTGCTAGTTTGTTGAGTGGAAGGCAGAGTTGACACAAACATGATATGTCATGGTGTGTAATCTCAGGGAAAGAACTGTTTTCTTTTTTAAATGTTCCTCTATCATGGGAAAGTCCAGATCTCAAAATACCCCCCTCCAGTTCTAGAACAAAGTTTGGCCAGGCTCTAAAGGGAGCCTTCAGGAGGACAAAACAGGTAGAAATTTGTAGCTTCACTGCTCTCTTTAACCAAATGGGCTTTAGAATAAGTTTGTTGCTATCTAGTTGGCCTCTTTTGGCTCTGCTTTTCTGCTAAAAATGCGTATCTCTCCAATAGCCTGGGGCTAATGAGTCTTTGGGCTCTATTGTGTGTGTGGTTTTGAAATACGTCTCTTATATAACAGCCTTTACATCCTTTCTCTCCTGCAGTTGCCAAAGTTTTCACATACGTTTCTCTCAAAAAAGCCTTTTTTTTCTTATTTCTATCCTCTTTAAATCATATCCAGTAGTGACAGAACCAGCCAGGTGTTAAGGAATTTGGAGGGAAAGCTAAGTACAGATCTGCTTGCAGACGTGGAAGGTGAAAAAATTGAGTTCAGTTTTAGGCAGTGAAGAGCAATGGAATCACAGAATAGTTGCTGTTGGAAGGTGCCTCTGGAGATCTGCTAGTCCAATGCTCTGCTCAAAGCAGCGTTAACTACAGTGGGTTGCTCAGGGCCTTGTCCAGCTCGGTGTTGAGTATCGTAAGGATGAAGACTCCACGACTTCTTTGAGCAACCTGTACCTGTATTTGACCACCCTTGCAGGGAAAAAGATTTTTCTTAATTTTAAATGAAATTTCCTGTACTTCA